ATTTCAAAGCGAATTAAATACATTCAAGGATGATTTATTGTCTTTACACAAGGAGGATACATTAACCATCGACTTAATCAGCCCCAGACAATCTGGGAGAGTTAAGAAGTTTCTTGGGACTATTTTCCCGTAAAAATTCCTTCTGAAAAACTTCAGCAATACAAGTCCTTTCTTAAATAAAACTAGTTTATTTTTTCTCAATTCAACTTTGCAATACACTTATTTTCCACAGTCAGTTTAACTTAACTAATTTTATAAAAACACGTTATAATTCACAGGGAACGATTAACGCACTTACTTACTACCGTGCTTGACTCAATTGTCTGTCTCTGTCTGTCTGCAATGCTATTCCGAGTAATTTGTCTCACGTTATCAGGCGCACTTATATACAGGAATAGAGGGCGCCTAGCACATACTGGATTATTCGTGATGTTCTCCGATCCTTCTAGAATATCATGACGTGTTACCAGAGTCACGTGACTACCGCTGTCGTAACAATATGTTGATTTATTTGGTCATTTTCCCTTTTATTGCTTGAACAGTACTGAAGTACTTCATTTCTTATTTGTTTTTTAACTCGTAGGTATGTTTAAATTCTTCCCAGCCAATTTTTTGTAGAAAATATCATATTGAATCATAGTGCTTGATGAAACAGAGAAATGTATCATTAAAACAGTTCGAGTTTTGGAAAGAATGATATAAATCCTAGTTCCAACAGTGTGGAATGGCTAATTATGTTTTAGTGAAATGTAGTGAAATATTGTAGTGGAGAGAATGTGGCAGGGTTATAGGATAGCTGTGGATGATCATAGCCATGCAGATCTCGGAGATAACGGCTGACGTTTAGGTCAGGTTCAAGACTAAATGATGCCTCCATTGACCAAGCTGTCTGCAGGTAGCGGAGATTATGTTCTGTTGGCAGGTTAATCATGAGCACGTGTAAGCCTGTAGGCACAGAGCTTGACCAGAGGATTTTTTTTCATATTTTTTCACTTCGATCTTTAAGGATCTTTCAGGATAAAGTATTTTCATAGCTGAGACATTGTGACTTTAACCCACAATCTGGACTGAGGTTTTCTGCCCAGTTTGTATTCTTTGGAACTTGCTTTTCAATCCTGACTTTTATTATTTAAAATCAGATTCTTAATTATTCTACTCTCTTCGTTTTTCAACCTATCGAGTAGAGTGCTTGTGTTCTCTGTCGCTAAATTTATACATAACCACTGCTTTATCATGGAAGGAACTAATGGTGAATCATTTGTATTTAATTTTTCAGATGATTTAGAATGTTTGGCATTGCCTACCAAAGCTGAGGTTGACCTTACTTTCATTTCACCAGAGACTATGGATGAAAATTCAATGCTTGATGATGCATCTGACGTGTGTACTCTGGAGGCTATCACTGTGGAGTTATCCCACAATATCCATTGCACCAGTCATCATCTAATCAGTTTATCCTACACCGGATCAAACCCACATTGAAGTGAAAGAGTGGACCAAACCAAAATCTTCATGGTTCAAGTTGTCAAAATCTAAGTCAAGGCAGAAGGACAAGAAATGATGGAGTATCAAGAGAAACACTACAAGTGCTCCATCAGAAGGTGTTTCATGCAATGAAACAATTGCCATAGAATGTGCACCCTCCTCCAACGGAACTATCACACTGCTCATCCTAGTAGGACTTTTCCAGAACTTTATAGAAAGATCAACACAGACGTAGATCCTTCATCTCCTTCCCTAATGGCAAAGACCCTAGTCACGGCTGCCACTGTGGTAATACTGGCATTGATGTCACCAACTGTGATGGCAGTTTTTACCTTGAGCACTTGTGCATCTATGTTAATGTCATTAACAGCAGCTCCTCTCACAGCTTCAAAGGTAAGGAGAAAGAAGGCAGCATTCCCCCGACTAAAATAAAATATCAGTTCGGCTCTTGCTCCAGTATATTGTGGTGTTAAACCACCACTACCAACAACAGGCAGCCAGGTTTGAAGAGGCCTGGACAGTGTTTATCCGTGAGGGAGACCTTCTGCTGAAGTGCAGAGAGCCACTAATTCAGATGGGGGAAGAAGTGTGTCATCTCTAAGAAGTACATGACGGTTCTTGCAGGAGCCACAGATAATTTGGCTACACTGAAGAATTTGCTGTTAGGGCTCATTTAGGTGAGTAACTCCTCTAGCTTCCATCCTAGACTATACATAGATTTTATTAAATGTATGTTCATATTTGTAAAGTACATATCTTGCATTTAGTTTACCTTTGTATAGTGCATATATTTAAGACTAAAGTTTGTGTAGTGTGTGTGTGTGTGTGTGTATTATTATGTTTAGTGTTAAAGTTTTTTGTATAACATATATATGTATATTGTTAACATGTTTAGGTTTTCATTTCTGTAGTGTATTTATGTATATTCTACCATGTTTAGGGTTAAGATAGTCATTTGTATAGTACGTACGTATTTTTAGTATTTAGGTTAAGATTAGAGTGAGATTTAAGTTTAGGGATTTTGTTTAGTTGTTTCCATATATTGTGGATGTGTAAAGGTTTTTTTTGTTTTTTTTTGTAGACTATAATTTCTAGTCTCGATGTCCACAGAAAATATGAAGGCAATGTATGGTACAGGAGTGTACTGTGCATTTGCTCTTCACCGATATAATATGTTAATTTTTCGAAATTCCTGTACATTTAATCTGTTCAGTTTGGATGAAAAGTCACTCAAGTAAGCCACTCAACTCTTCTTTCTCTGCTGTACATGAGATGTGAATTTACTAACTGACAGTTAGTTATGGTTTCTCACAGAAAAGATAGCTTATGAAATTTTGAGATAATACGGTTGTTTTTTCTGTTGACGAATCAGATAATGGTCAGGGGCTTGTGCTTGGATCACAGTGGACGAAGCTGACATATACAAACCTGGCTTGGTTCATTGTACTAGCTTCCTAATGGAGAAAGAATGTTGACTATAATTCTTAATTTACTATATGTATCTGTACAAAATGTGACAAAAAATTAGGTGTGTTACAATGTATTTGTACTCAAGAAACGTCTGTGAATTGTTGATATTAGTCTGACAAGTTAGAGTGATGATGTTCATGGGAAGATTATAAATACTTTTTTTTATCATACAGCTTGTGTATTGCATTTGCACAGCCCCTAGAGCCTCCAAAATGCATGTATACATTTTTGTTTTTCATTATTACTGTACACTTTATATGATATTTAGTCTTCTCTACCATGAACTCTTGCTAAATCAGCAATGCAAGGTAAAATGAATAGTTGATAACTCTGTCATGAATTACGTAATACCAGGATGAATGGTACTATTGGTCAGAATGTGTGCACTTTGACCCCAACCCGTTCAAATACGGTTAAAGCTAGGTTTGCCCGTGTAAGAGAACGTTTAACTTTTACTTTTTGCTATCTTAACTTTAACTTCTTTATCTTTTTCAGACCTAGTAACTAATAACCTTTGATATACATGCTTTAACTGTTGTATTATGTAAAGTTGCAGTATTTGGATTTTAACTTTTCATGGCTGTTTTATTTTGTATTTATCTTTTCTTTTTGAGTAGCTTACCAGGCCGAACACACTGAACTGGTAAGCGAAATCTATTAAAGGTTTTTCCATACCCACCTCAAACATTTGCTTTTGTCTTTGTGCCTTGTTTAATAAAGGTTTTTGTTGTATACATTTTTGAATCTTGACTCGTTTCTCTGAACCTCCAGTTAGCCGACCCTGACTGCTCTGACTGAAATTCGTATATCGAAAAATACCACAATTTTGTCATTTACATCAGGCTAATAGATGTTTTTAATCTTGTTATTGTCATCACTGTTACTAATATGTTATTCCTCTTGGTTTCAAGTTACGAAAGATGCTTATAAACATTGTCAAGAGAATGAATTTTTTCCTTATGCGTTGAAAGAATTTGAAGTAAAATTTGTAATAAAATCATTTTTGAAAAGTGAAATCGTGTTTCTTTATTGTTCTATTTATCTATTTATTTTCGTTTTTTTTATTTAGTTTTCAAACTAATAATACCACTTATGATTGTCGAAACTTGCTAAAACTACGGGAAACATTTTTCGTTTAAAATTATGGGAATTCATGACGCTCTTGATAAGAATTTTGTTGAAATTATCTACATGAGCACTCTCTATGATAAGCAAATTCTCAGAATATTGAATGATTAACTCTAAACACTTAAGCCTCGAAAATGTTTGAAGGTCTACCCAAATCATAGTAAGTTTGAGAACTTTAATGGATTGCATCTGCCTGTTGAATGAAAAAGGAGACCCCCGTTTCGGCATCTATTCTAAAACCTCGGTATAGAAGCTGAAACGTCATCCCACTTTTTCATTCGAGAGGAAGACGCAGACCATTAAAGTTCTCTAACCTACTATATTTACTTTGCTTGAACTTCCACTGAAACAACCATAACATCCAAATATAACCTTTTAAACAAACCGTAACTTCATGATACAAATATAATTTAAGTAAATGTTGATCATTAATAAGTATGTATTAAATATGTTGTAGATATCCTGTGATGCAAATTTCTAAGGTGATGTAGCTTACCATGGAATTCAATTAAAAATCATAGTTTGTGTTTGAAACTAACTTACAACGTAAATCTGGAACTTCTAGTTGTACGGTTAGGTTTGTAAGAAGGGAAGTTGGCCAAATGATGCCCTAGTTATCCATTCTTTTACTCTCTGAGTAAACGCATTGTTATTATTACTGACTATAAAAAATCGTGTTAAATTGTTGGTTTTCTGATAACATATGAAAGAAACTGAAAAATACGTGGAAAAGTATTTTAATCGATGTCGTAAATCTGGGCTACTTTATACGACGTAACTCTTGGTCACTTAAAACATTTTAAGCACATTTTTGTTTTAATATATATATATGTACATTCATATATACAATTAAAGTTTCTACCATAGGTCCTGTCCTGTTAAGATTATTCGACTAAAATATGTTAACATTAATTGAATATTGTAAAAAATTTTCAGTGTCCTCAACATGTATGCATATATAGATTCAATAATTTGTAACGAAGGCAATACAGTACTAATTATCCTTTGAACAGTGTATCATTTGTAAAGTTCTCGAGCACATCAGTCTTCAGCTTCAAACATTTTATGACGCTTCCGTGGGTACCTAAAAATAACAAAAGTGTTTGCTACATTTTAGAATATGTATGTTTAATAAATTGAATGACTAATGTTATCCATCGATGTGTTTCCATATTCCAAGAATCCATATTAGAAGTTCCATTATTTGTCTTTGAGATAATTAAAGATAGATTTACTTTAGAGATGCCTTTAACCATACCTTTTTCCTCCTGATAATTTATAGTTTTTTTTCACAATTTCCTTTCAATCACCTATACCTTCAGTTATTCCAAATTATTTTTTTCCTTTTGACCTTCTAAGTAATTCACATCTACCCAGTTAATAATACGTTTTCACTCTTTATACTCAGTTAAATTTTTAATACCGTTATAGCCTCCGATCATCTCATATTATAAATACAAATTTCCTTATCCTCGTGATAATTCATAAAAGGTATTTTACCCACCCGCCCATTCCTACCCTTTTTGTCATTCCTCGTAGGTCTTTATATTCTCCTTTTTAATATAGGGAGGTTGCTATCCTCCCTTACACTCCAATTTAAAAACATAAAATACTGACCATTGTAGTGGAATCACTTGATGGTCCACTGATTCCTGTCATAAAGATGTTCCAAGCTTCTAAAAATTTCTTTATCAAATCTTGTGCTCCGGCTGTAAAACATGTAAACTTATAAGAAAATATAGACAGAATAATGTAATTTATCTGAACGTTTAATATATTTCATTCAATTGTTTTGAAGCTTATTTTAAAGCAATGTTTCGACCTGCTAGGTTAGGTCTTTTTCAAGCCAATGAAGTCCATTAAGAACTTTGAGACGAACATATAAACTATTTTTAAATTTGAATTATAAATTACCGTAATTATTTTAACAAAGGAAATATATTCAAAGAACTTCAATTACTAATTTAAATTAAGTTCTAACTGACAAGGATGAAAATTCTTAACACCTGAGAAACTTAAGTATTGTTTTAATTTTGATTAGTCCTTAAATGTTCATAAAAAGAGCAATAAGGGTTGTTCTAAGGGGCCTGGCATAGTCTAGTGGTTAGGGGCACTCGATTAACACTCTGCGGTTTGTGGGTTCGTCACTGAGCGTACTTACTCTTTCAGCCGCCAGGGGCGTTATAAAGTGACGGTCACTTCCCCTATTCTGTTGTTTGTTTGTTTGTTTTTGAATTTCGCGCAAAGCTACACGAGGGCTATCTGCGCTAGCCGTCCCTAATTTAGCAGTGTAAGACTAGAGGGAAGGCAGCTAGTCATCACCACCCACCGCCAACTCTTGGGGTACTCTTTTACCAACGAATAGTGGGACTGACCGTCACATTATAACGCCCCCACGGCTGAAAGGGCGAGCATGTTTGGTGTGACAGGGATTCGAACCCGCGACCCTCAGATTACGAGTCGCGTGCCTTAACCACCTGGCCATGCCGGGCCATTCTGTTGTTAGTGGGTGGTGTTGACTAGCTCCGTTCCTTCTAATATATCACTTCAAAATTAAGGATGGCTAGCGCAGATAGACCCGAGTAGAATTGCGCTAAATTCAAACCAAAAACTAAATGTAAAGAGACGCACGAAAGTCGACAGCTTCAGATATTCAGAAGCTTATAATATGAGGAGGTTTTGATTTACCTAAAACTTAAGTAGGGAGTTAAACTATATTCCCACAACTACATATTAAACACACAAAATTAACAACACACAAATGTTGTACCATATATTTTTGGTATTACAGGAGTTAGGCAAATTCCCCCTTTCTTTAACGAATGTTTCAATGAATTCAAGGCGTTATCACCCATTATGCTGAAATCATGGTCAGCTTATGGTTGTACAAGTAGCTGCATGCTATGGTCTCTATAATTTGTAGAAGTGATGTAGAAGCTGGTATGTCCGTCAAAGCACATTCTCACTAACACCATACTTCCACCACTTTCTTATGCACCACGTTCCCATATAAAAATTGGTTTGCATTTTGCTGCAAGGTGAAATGCAATCATCTTTAAAAATAATGTTATTCCATATGCTACTGGTTCACTGGACGTGTTCTTGGTGCCAATGCAGGTGAACTCTTTCGCGTTTTTTCTGTGAAAAAAAAAAGTATCTCATTATGCATCTAGCGTTTAGGCCAGCCTTTTTTAAACTTCTATTTCAAACCATTTGTATACTGACACAGTAACAGTTGCATCTGCGAACATATAATTTAGTTTTGAAGTAGGTATGTTACAATTGTAGCAAGCCAGATATCTGTCGTCTGCTTGTGTTGTGGATGATGGGTTGCATCGTATAAATCTCTGAACAACTGTAGATTGGTTTGAAAGTCTTTCCTCATTTTTCGAATGACACTTTGAGATCTAGTATCCACTTGAAATAGCCTGCTGTAATTAGCTAACGTCTTATAGCTAGCTCGCCACAGGAATGAAGTAACCAAATGTCTTCTCTGAGATCTAGCTTTGGTTCATGAACAATATAGATTATTCTGATATTCACATGAAAGTGGGACAAGATACTGTGATATATATATAGCGTAGGTTGAATGATTAATCATTATTTCAGATAGTATGGTTGATCATCAGATTCATGATTTGCATAGAAATAAACTAGGGGAATGATTGACATTGTTATATAATCTATTTTTCTCTTATCGTAGCTATAATATCAAAAATTATAATTATCCTTTTGTGAAATGTAAGAACCCCCCATCACATATTAGCTTGTACTTGATTTTTCTTAACTTGTTTGAGCTGCATCATTTTCAACATACTATAACGTGAAGCAAAATATAACATATATATCATTTATATGGCGTAGAAGTTAATATTGTATTTAGAAAATATTTAAAGGCATCAATTTTTATACCAACCACTTACATATCTATATATTTCACTTTTTTTATCTAAATTCACAGTCAATCTATTTTTTTATAGAAATGTTCATATAATGTAAAAACGAAAACTCACCAGAAAGATTTTTTACAGTTGCGTCAATTTGTTTCATTACTGGGGTATCCCAAAATAATGCCATTTTTTGGACATTTGCTACTGTAGGTGTTCTTAATATTAGCTTCAGGTTCTCATCATTATCTTGTATTGCAAGGGTCCTTTGTCGTAGCTTCTGATTTTCATCCCCATCTTCTTGTGGTAGGGATCTTAGCCAAAGTTTCTGCTTTTCAACTTCGTCTTCTAGCGGAAGAGATTTCAGTTCTTTCTCAACATCAGCATAAAGTTTCGAAAGTGAAGATGCATGTGTCAAGAGAACAAAATTCAGGACAGAAAGACTCAAGCTCATTTTCCATCCTACCATGTTTGCAACTAAAGGGTAAATTTCTGTGCAGAAATAAAATAATTTTTAGTCAGTAAACTAGTAGTCAGATTGAATGACGTAAAGAATTACTTAATCAGAAGCTATTTATGTTTATTTTAAAATTAAAATTGTTTAAAGTATCTATTAATTATTAACACTTGGTTGATTGGTTGTTTGTTCTAGAGCAAAGCCACATTTGGTTATCTGCTGCATCCACCGCGAGAAATCGAACCCTGGATTTTAGCGTTGTAAGTACGTAAACACACGTACAGTTTAGAAAATAAACTAATCATTATTTGCTTTCTACGAAATATAAATTATTTATATGCGACACATCATTGAGATATGTGAAAATTCTATATATTTGTGAATCTAACTTTTTAAATTTCTCAGTTTTCAAAGAAGTGAAATTTATATTATGTATGAGAGAGAATCGATTATCTATTTTTCAATGAATGTTATTTTTACATGAAATTACTTTAAAATAGTTTCAATTTCAAACAAAAACGAAAATAATTTTTATAAAAAGAAATAGTTAATTTCTAACAAATAGCATAGATACATTCTCACCGCTAATTACTCCAGGAGAGAGAAGACAGAATTGCACGTGAGTTTATCGACTTACGTAGAAAGGTATGCACTTATATAGTCTGAAAAAGCGTATATTTTTTATATAATTAATCTGAAGTTTGAATAATCTCTTGATACCAAGGAAATACAAAACTCATATAGCAGATACATTTAGAAATTTTCCCGTTGTTTGTTCAGTTGCAAAATGCAAACAGTAAGAGACAGACACGCATTTACGCATGAACACACTCCTCTACTGACCGAGTAAACCGGTCAACTCCAGTTGAGGAATGATATTCCAACAAACGATAAATCAATAGACATTTTCCTCAATTTGACAAATAGCTACCCCATTCACTCCCTTTTTTTTTCATTTTATAAGTAAGTCAAATAATCCCATGTTCATGGTATCAGTTAATTTTGAGAAGTGGTCACCCAACAGCCTTCCTAACTTGAGAAATTATCGAATTATAACCAATCCTTCTTTAGTTTGAAATTATTTTTACCTCAATTTGTCGTCTTTACGTAATGAAGTTTAAATTTCACAATTGTTGTGTTTGAAACAACAGATGTAAAAATAGTTTTATCTTTAATATTTTGTTAAACTTTTGTATAATATCTATTTTTCCAACATTTAACTAATTCAAATCGAAAATTGATAAGCTGAAAAGAAATGCTTATTATACTAAAACTAAAGATAATAGCTTACATTAGAAAACAACACCCACACAATGACCAGTTGGAAACTACGATTACGAACAGAGTCGACTCCCTTCAGCGTAGCAACACTCAGGATAGATATTGTTACACATTAAAGCTGTGGTAGTTGGCTTATCAAAGTTTTCATATATTACTCACACTTTTACACTCTTTTATTAAACTAATAATAACTCTAGGCTTCCCGATTCAATTTATTACTTAGATTTTTTCCCCTTTTTTGGTTTAAAACCGGGTTTCGATAACCGTGGTGGGCAGAGCACAGATAGCCCATTGTGTAGCTTTGCGCTTAACTACAGACAAACAAAAGGTGGTGTGTGCATGATGGGATTGTAACAAGGAAAGCTTTTTTAATGAGGAAAATTTCTGTGAAAATACATCTGCACAATGGACTGCATTTTCTCTGGCCACCGTAGGGATCTAACCTTAAATGTTAACTGTATAAATTGTTCAAAATGCGACAGCCTGTAACTTGCTGTTTCAGTTTTTGTGTACTATAGATTAACTTTTGTTATGGGCATAAATTTTACGAAACAGTATTGGTTGACTTAGATGCTATTAATGAAATATGTGGCAACTGCAAGAAAATTGTGTTTGTGAGCTTAAAACTAGTCGAAAAACATTACAGCCAGGAATTATCTGTTTTATTTCGTTCAACAGTTAGAAGCCGTTATGTAATTTGAACACTACAAGAATTAACATTAGCTTCGTGTTGGACAGCCTTAGGCTGGTTTGTTGAGGTAATACACACTATTTCATTCCCAGTATTATTTCCCTACCGTCACACTTATGAGATTTTATTATTTGTAACTTACTACAAATAATCCTGCGAAATATGGTATTGACTAGTTGCCTTATCTCTAATCTATAACTTCAAAATTTTAGACGGCTAGCCAAGATAGCCTTCGAGTAGCTTTATGCAAATTTGGTTATGTATAATATTTTGCTTGTATCCACAGCGTATGAACAGGAATTGTGTTGTCCTTTTTTTTTTTGCATGCGGATGTGGTGAATCAGTGATTTTAACAACGACTTTTTTAAGAAATAAGACAAAGCGCCACATGCATTAAAGAAGAGGGGAACAGACCAAGCAACGAGACATAACTGTACAATAAATATAAGGTTCATTAGAAAAATTTAATTTGATTAATTTGGGACACTTCAATATCATAAGTTCAATGTCTAACAACCGGGAGAAATATGAATCTAAAATCTGTGGTGCTAATAATTAAGATTTTTGCTCATACGCTATATTTGGTATTGACGCAAACTAAAGGTACCGAACATTGTAGACTAATTTATTACACCTATTCATCTTTTTTAATTTCTTATATGCATGTCATTCCGCAGATAAGAATCACTCCTAACAAAACAGAGCCGGTGATCCAAACATGATTCTATAGGAGTGCGAAATGACTGCGAGAAAAAAATAAAGAGCCCGATTTCAAGAATCTAAGTCAGATATGTGGTTTCCTACTGCGGAAAGTTGACTTTCATGGACCTGATAAATAAGTGGGCTTTTAAAACGTTGAGTTTGAAGCCACAAGCTACTATGAGTTGAAAATAAAAAGAAACACACTTTTATGAAATGATAGACTAGAGGGAAAGCAGCCAGCTAACAGCATCCATCACTAACTATTAGGCTGCTGTAATCGATCACCCACGGCACTAAAGTTAGGAACACGTTATTTTTTGGTTTTTGTGGTAACAAATCGTGAACCACAGGCTCTCGGATACGCAGCCTGGCACACTTACCCCTATGCAATGCACAGTCCTAGTATAAGGGAAACCCGTCGACTTATGTGGCCCCATCCTAGACTTCAAATAGCTATACATCCACTATGGCAAAGAGCGTTTCAAAACTATATTATATAACATACATAAACTACCTTTCTCGTAATTAAGCTCTGTTTTTTAGTGTGCAAGAACGTGCGTATCTTCGGGCATCGCACCAGTAAAACAAGGAAAGTTGGAGCAACCGTCAGAAGTGAGCTTACGGGGATTAATGAGCTTAAGCTTAATATGGTTACTGAGAATGGTCCAAAGTAAATTAGACATTTTTTGACAGTTAAATGTCAAAATGTCAAAAGCAGACGTAAAACTTTTTTTTATTAAACAAATATAACCGTACATCCACACATGTAGCCATCTCCAGGTACCATTGAATCCTTTCGAGTCTTACATTAATTTATGTGGCAGTTTTTAAACATCTTATTCTATGTCCAAAGTTTTGTGAACTAAACCGATTAATTTTAATATGCCTGTGAAGAAAGTATTTTTTAAGATTATGGTCAATTTAAATGTTGGGTTTTCTATATAATCACCCTGTACGATTTTATGAACTGTGTCATAAAACTGCGAATAAGATCAAATCATGTTCCAATCGTAAATTGCATTAAACACTCGCTTTATGTAAGTTTTGGTTGAGTATTTGAATGTGCCCTCACGCAAAAAAGGAGTTATTATTTCTTGTGTTTCTTGTTTTTAATTTACCATTTTCCTTATTTTAATGATAATAATAATAATGTCTGGATTTTAAGAATCTATTTGAAGCTGGTCAGATAAATTTTATACGATGAACCAACAGTTACGAAAGGACAAAAATCACTCATGTACTGTCTCCAAAAAACAGAATAAATGCACAAATTTTCAAGGCAATTTTTATAGAAAACTTCTGGAAGTACTGTTAATTGATTTAATTCTTTATACGATGGAAATTTTTGTTTACACCGAACCGTATACGTGAACGTTAAAAGTAACGACAAGTATCACCTAATCTCTAAACTTCGGTGTCCCGATGACACCCATTTTTGAGGACAGTATCCGATTTTAGAGCAGGGTCTGCGGAAGAAAACCATTTTCAATTAAGCAAAATTAAAAGAGGGAAGTCATTTTGTAGAAAAAGATTCGAAGTGAGCATTTTGCTATGTACCCGATTTATGATTATTCTGATTGAAACGATTTTTAAGAATAATTTTACCAGTAATCGTTATTAGGTAATATTTGTATTTTTCTAAGTATATTATTTTCATAAGGTATGGAGTCCCTCTGTGGCTTAGCCTGGAATTACACTGAAAAATCTTAGCTTCCTCAAGTTACATAGTATTTTTATATATAATCGTTATATATGATCATATATGTAGTTTTAATTCTACTCTATGGTGTCTCTAAAATGAACATTACCTTAATTTTGACTTGTTGAATTTTTTTAAATTACCCAATTGTCTCAGCTCTCCATGCAAAAACAGGGCATTTAAAAGATTAAAATAAACAATCGTGTTTCCATTAAAAATATATAACAAGAGTGTATTATATTGGAAAAAAATATCATGTAACTTTTATTTTATTTAATATCATTTGCAGGAAGTCAGCTCTCTGAAAGACCTTGTCAATTGAGTAGGTTAGTGTTTGAAGGACATTCGAGATTGTAGTCAGACATACGATTGGT